TGCAGCAGAGACGCAGGCCAGGTTCTCGTGCTGTGCTCCTCTCTGCGGGAGTACAAGGATGCCCCTGTCCCCTATGGGCGAAAGAATGGAGGAACTCTGGCTCAGGCTGTTTAACTCGTGGGTGCTTGGCTCGGGTGCCCCCACATCCCTATGAGTGCTGGGATCTCGTGACCCAGCTGTGATCTCCCTTCTTCCCTCTGCAAGGAAAGGGGGTGCAGGTTCTGCTTGCTGGGGGCAGTGAGGACCAGGGAGTCCTGGGGAGGTAAATGTTCCCTCCCCGTTGAACTCCTCATTGTAGCCCAAGCCTGGCCGTGACCCGATGTTTCTTGCATAAGCGCAAGATTTCTTATATTTGTCCCCCCCTCCCCAAAACACCCTAACGGGTCCTGGGGACTTGCAGAAGTGGCATTTTAGAAAACATGCCTGGAAGTGTTGAAGCAAGTTTCTGTTCCCCTTGGGGGAAACAGCCACCGTGTGTGGGCTCTGGCTGACCCCGTCTGGGTTCTCATCTCTGAATCACACTGGCCTAGCAGGGGGAAGGGGTTACGGTCTGCCAGGAAAGGCGCTAACCCTCTGCTCCATCCCCAGGATCCTGGAATCAGCAGCACCAACCCTCATGGTTCCTACTGGCCTTTCGATGAAGGCTTGAAACGGGGCTTGTTCCTAAACACCACCCAAGGGCAGCCACTCATCGGGCAGGTGAGGAGCTCCGGGGGGAAATCCCAGCCTGGGGTTGTGCAATAGCAGGGTTGGGATTTCATCCCTCGCGCTGGAGGGAAAGCCAAGCGGCCAAGGGACTTCTCCGGGATGATTGCCAGAGCCTGGCTCAGCCCACAGCCTCACGTATCACCTCCCGGCATCTCCACCAGCCCCAGGAGCCCGCTCCTGCCTCAGCGGAGGCATGCGTGGAAGTCATATGAGCTTAACGGGGTTGGCGGTGTCGCTCAAGGCTGGTCATCTGATTTCTCTCCCTTCCCGTTTCTGGGGTGAGGGGAGGTTGTTTGCGATCAACATGTGCCTTCAGATCTGCTCCACAGTGGTTCCCTCCCAGTTTGTCCCCCGCTTTCCCAGCCATTTGCTCCCACTGGCTTTCCCCCACCACCAACAAGGAAGGGTCTTTTAACGTAGCCTGAAAACATCGGGAAAAATAAATTGGCCAAAATTCCTGCAGTGAGGCAAAGCGTGGAGAAATTGCAGCTTTTCCCTGATGTGCCCTGGCCTGTGTGGTGTCAGGGCTCTTGCAAGGAGAGGCAGAGCAGCTCCTCCATAAGCCACTGCTGCCCGCCCAGCCCCGTGCCCCTCGCCCGGCTGCGGGGGTGTCCCCAGCACCCTGAGGCTCCCGGGTGCCACGGAGGCAGGAGGGATGCTGTGTGTGCAACACCTAGGACTCAAAGCAGTCAGCCCAGGGTTATCTCCTGGTTTATTGCCTGTTTCAACCCCTGGTCCTTTGACATGCTCACAGCCCCCTGGCACCCCATTTACCTCAGCAGCCCCCCAGGAGCTGCCTGCCTGCAGAACCCACGGGTTTGTCGTCTGCCCACAGGTCTGGCCTGGCTTCACTGCCTTTGCAGACTTCTCCAACCCGGACACGCACCAGTGGTGGCTGGAGAACCTGCAGCACTTCCATGCCCATGTGCCCTTTGACGGCCTCTGGATCGTAAGTCCCTTCTTGCCCTCGGGTCACTCCATGCCGGTGGCTCTGCCCATGCCTGGTGCAAGTCTCTCTCTGGTTCCGGCAGGTTCATCTGTCCCTCAAATGCAGCTTTTCCAGGTCTACCCACTAATCCCTTGAAAATGCTATGCGACTTTCTTTCCTTAGGACATGAATGAGCCATCCAACTTCATGGATGGATCTGAAGATGGCTGCCCCCCAGGAGAGCTCGACAGCCCACCATACACCCCAGGTAAGGAGGGTGATGAAATACAAGGCAGGGCCAGTAGGTACCACGTGCTTTGAAATTCCTGGCAGCTGAGTGCTATGGGAGAAAACCATTTTTAAGAGACATCGTGTCTCCATTTTACACCCTGAACATCTCCATCCCTACTTGTGTGTGCTGGTATCCGTGCCCAAGCCTTGCACGCTTGGCGGGGCCAGGTCAGGGTGCAGGATGGGACCATCAGCATGAGCTTTTGGTGCTGGGTTGCAGCAATGGCTGGCTTCTGTGTGCGGGAGGGCTGGCCCAGAGCCAGCAAGCATGGGCGGGGGGGTCTGCAGCCCCTGCACCTCCCATCACGTGCCAATGGGGGCTCTTCCTCCTGGCAGCCGTGCTGGGCGATTCCCTTTCTGCAAAGACGGTGTGTGCCTCAGCGAAGCAGAAAGCCTCAGTGCACTACAACCTCCACAACGTCTACGGGCTGATGGAAGCCAAAGCCACGGCGAGGTACCCGAGCATCCCGCTTCCCACAGGCCTGGGGGTGGGATGGGACAAAATCTGCTGCTCAGGGCTGTGTAAGGAAAGGGCAAGGTTTTGAGTGCCTGACCAAAAGGGGAGATGCTCTGGCTGCTGACAGCCTCCAGGGTGGGAATAACCCAGCAGAGGAGGGGAGCCAGCACTGCTCCTGGAGGGATTGGGAATAACCCAGCAGAGGAGGGGAGCCAGCGCTGCTCCGGGAGGGATGGGTGGATGAGGCCAGTCCTAGCACTGAGCCTTCCCCGTACCTCTCAGGCCAACTCTCTGGCACTGCAGGGCTGTGGTGGGGCTGGACCTCTCCCTCCACTTTGGAGGGATAAGGCGAACTCCTGGTGGGCTGCTCTCACCTCCTGCCCCTGGCTCTCCCCGTTGTCTTCCAGCGCATTGATCCAGATCCGGGGGAAGCGCCCCTTTGTCATCTCCCGCTCCACCTTCCCCAGCCAGGGCCGGTACTCGGGGCACTGGCTGGGTGACAACCGAAGCCAGTGGAAGGACATGTATTACTCCATCCCAGGTGGGTGGCACGGGCTACATGCAGACCCCCCCTACCACCACCCCCAGCTCCATCCAGCTTCCTTCTTGTTTGGAGACATCTCCAAAACTCCCTGCTGACCATCCCTGCCCTCAGGGCTGCTGAGCTTCAGCCTCTTCGGCATCCCGCTGGTTGGGGCGGACATCTGCGGCTTCTCCGGCAGCACCTCAGAGGAGCTGTGCACCCGCTGGATGCAGCTCGGCGCCTTCTACCCCTTCGCCCGCAACCACAATACCCAGAATGAGAAGGTTGAGGGCAGCGTGCCTGGTGGGAGGCATTGCAGCGTTGGGGTGTGGGATGCGGGGTGAGGGATGCGGGGTGTGGGATGCGGGGTGAGGGATGCGGGATGTGGGATGCAGGAGGGTAGTGGGGATGCCCAGCAGGGATGGGGCGGCCACTGACTCCCCACATCTCCCCCAGGCCCAGGACCCAACAGTGTTCAGCCCTGCGGCGAGGACGGCCATGAAGGACGTGCTGCTGACCCGCTACTCCCTCCTGCCCTTCCTCTACACCCTGTTCCACCGTGCCCACCTGCAAGGGGACACTGTCGCTCGGCCCTTGTTCTTTGAGTAAGAGCTTCCCTGCCGGGAGCTGGGTTGGCTCTTAGGCTGGATCACAGAGAAGCCACTGATCTGAGAGGCATCTCCATCCCACCACAGGTTCCCTCAGGATGTGGCCACCTTGGAGCTGGACAGGCAGTTCCTGTGGGGCCAGAGCCTGCTGGTGACACCGGTGCTGGAGCCTGGGGTGGACTCGGTCACAGGCTACGTCCCCCGTGGTGTGTGGTACGACTTCTATACGGTGAGGAGCACTGCAGCATTCGGCTGGGGGCCAGATGGTCCCCACTCAACTGTCTTGGGGCTGCAGGTGGGAGACTGCAGCTGAGCCCAGCAAGCCCCGATGGAGGAAGGGGTGGGGGTGGCTGCTCCCCAGACCCATGCCCGAGTCCGCTGCCGTGCCCCTGGCCCCCTCACACCCACGTCTCTCACCACCTGCCCAGGGCTCTTTGGTGAACAGCAGCGGGGAGATGCTGAAGATGTCGGCCCCCCTTGAGCACCTCAACCTGCATATCCGGGAGGGTGCCATCCTGCCCACCCAGGTGAGTGCCCACCCGTCACCTCCCAGGGGGCTGTCCACGGCGTGTGTCCCCCCACCAGCACCTCAGCTCCCAGATCCCCATCCTGGGTGCTTGCAACCCTACAGCACCCATGTCTTTGAACCCCAGAAACCGGGGACCACCAGTGAGGTGACCCGAGGGAATGCCCTGCGCCTCATCGTGGCCTTGTCCTCGAGTGCCACCGCCTGGGGGGACCTCTTCTGGGACGACGGCGAGAGCCTAGACACCTTTGAGCGGGGCAGCTACTCCTACCTGGTGTTCAACGTCACACAGGTGGGGCATGGTAGGGAGGGCAGGGGTGGGGTGTCCTGTGGCACCTGGTCATCTTGAGCTCATGCCAACCCCTCCTGCAGAACATCTTTACCTCCACCATCCTCCACACCAGCACCGAGGCCACCAAGGTCACCATTGACACACTGAGCATCTTTGGGGTACGGGAGCCACCCAGCAAGGTCCTCCTGAATGGCCAGGAGAAGCCCTTCTCCTATCTGGACAACCAGGTACAGCCCCATCTTGGCGTGCCCTGTCCTGGGGGGTCTCCATCCCTCCCCCCCTAGCCCTTATCACAGGGTTGGTGGCTGAGGAGGTGAGTGAGGACTCCGGGGTGGCTCTTCTGCCACTTTGGGGTTCAGGGGGAGCAGAGCTCAGCTGAGCTGCGTAGGGGAAAGGATGCTCCATGTCCCCCCAACTGAGGCTGTACCCCAAAATGTCTCCTCTCCTTCTGCAGGTTCTCACCGTGAGCGACCTTGGCCTCAGCCTCAGCCAGGGCTTCTCCCTGCAGTGGCTGTGAGCTGGGGGGGCGAGACCACCCATCTGGGAGATGCCTGATGCTCCAGCCCTTGGGGCCAGGATGCCACCATGGAGGCAGCAGTGGGGACTGTCACCTGCTGCCGTGCAGAGCCACTCTGCACAGCTGGGGACAGGGGGCACAGGGCGGGGGCCTGGCTGCTGGCTGCCCCCCATGTGATCCTGGGTGGGCAGTGTGGGTCGAGGTGCGGGCGCCCGCTGTCCTCACTGCAATAAAGGCACATGGAGAGCTGTCCAGGGAGCGTGACGTGGGGATGGGGTGGTGGCATGGGGGGGGGAGCAGGCAGTTGCTGTGGGGCCCCTCAGTTTTAGTCCCTGATCGTGGTCCTCCCAATTCCATTCCCCCAATCTCAGCTGCTCAATTTCAGTCCCTGATCCTGGTCCTCCCAATTCCATTCCCCCAATCTCAGCTGCCCAATTTCAGTCCCTGATCCTGGTCCTCCCAATTCCATTCCCCCAATCTCAGCTGCCCAATTTCAGTCCCTGGTCCTGGTCCTCCCAATTCCATTCCCCCAATCTCAGCTGCCCAATTTCAGTCCCTGATCCTGGTCCTCCCAATTCCATTCCCCCAATCTCAGCTGCCCAATTTCAGTCCCTGATCCTGGTCCTCCCAATTCCATTCCCCCAATCTCAGCTGCCCAATTTCAGTCCCTGGTCCTGGTCCTCCCAATTCCATTCCCCCAATCTCAGCTGCCCAATTTCAGTCCCTGATCCTGGTCCTCCCAATTCCATTCCCCCAATCTCAGCTGCCCAATTTCAGTCCCTGATCCTGGTCCTCCCAATTCCATTCCCCCAATCTCAGCTGCCCAATTTCAGTCCCTGGTCCTGGTCCTCCCAATTCCATTCCCCCAATCTCAGCTGCCCAATTTCAGTCCCTGATCCTGGTCCTCCCAATTCCATTCCCCCAATCTCAGCTGCCCAATTTCAGTCCCTGATCCTGGTCCTCCCAATTCCATTCCCCCAATCTCAGCTGCCCAATTTCAGTCCCTGGTCCTGGTCCTCCCAATTCCATTCCCCCAATCTCAGCTGCCCAATTTCAGTCCCTGATCCTGGTCCTCCCAATTCCATTCCCCCAATCTCAGCTGCCCAATTTCAGTCCCTGATCCTGGTCCTCCCAATTCCATTCCCCCAATCTCAGCTGCCCAATTTCAGTCCCTGGTCCTGGTCCTCCCAATTCCATTCCCCCAATCTCAGCTGCCCAATTTCAGTCCCTGATCCTGGTCCTCCCAATTCCATTCCCCCAATCTCAGCTGCCCAATTTCAGTCCCTGATCCTGGGAAGCGAGCCATTTCGCCCTCCATCAAGGAGCCGTCTGTCATCCCGATCGAAGGTGAGGCCTCACCGTGCTGCCGCCGCCGCGACAGGCGAGCGAGGAGGCAAACTCCAGCTGGCCTTTCCCTAGAGCTTCGGCCCGGGAGCCCTGCCCTAAGCCCTGCGCTGGCATTAATGTGCCGCCCTTAAGGGTTTCCCCTGCTGGAAATAGGGCTGAAGTCACACTTTTGTCTCCTCTCCTGGTTGCATTGGGTTGTGTTCATCCTGTCTGATAGACTCCCTGGGGAAATCTATGAGTCTGGGTGGCGGTATTTTATTTATGTATTTCTTTAGTAGACTCTGGATCTGAACGCTGCTTGCTTTTGGAAGCGTCATTCCATTTTCTGGTGCTTGATACATTTGCAGAAGAGTATTCTAGCATGGACCAACCAAAAGAAGGCTACGGGGAGACCTGATTGCGGCCTTCCAGTACCTAAAGGGGGCCTATAGGAAAGATGGGGAACGTCTTTTTAGTAGGGCCAGCTGTGTTAGGACAAGGGGAAATGGTTTTAAACTAGAACAGGGTAGGTTCAGGCTAGAGGTAAGGAAGAAATTTTTTACAATGAGGGTGGTAAAACACTGGAACAGGTTGCCCAGAGAGGTAGTGGAGGCCCCATCCCTGGGAACATTCCAGGCCAGGTTGGATGGGGCTCTGAGCAACCTGATCTAGTTAGCAGTGTCCCTGCTCACTGCAGGGGGGTTGGACTAGATGACCACTAGTGGTCCCTTCCAACCCCAAACATTCTATGATTCTATGAACTGAAAAATAATCAAGGGGTGTTCTCAGGTGTGAAACAGAACTTTTAATAGCAATTGGATAGGGGAAAGCTATTGCAGTGGCGAAGGGTGAGGATGTTCATGCTTTGCTTTTCTGGTGACTGGCCCTGCCAACATCTCTGGGCACGGTATTTTGTGTGAGGGTGAATACTGATGCCTGTGTGTCAATGATTGATCGCAGTTGTCCCCACGGTGCTGCTGGATGAAATTGAGGCAGCAGAGGCAGAGGGCAACGATGACCGTATTGAAGGGGTGCTGTGTGGAGCCGTGAAGCAGCTGAAAATGAACAGAGCTAAACCTGATACCACGCTGTACCTGAGCCTCATGTACCTGGCAAAAATAAAACCAAACATTTTTGCCACTGAAGGGGTTATTGAGGTGAGGGCTGTGCCACGTCGGGACTCTTGGGCTTACTGACATGCGGTTGCTGCCAGCTGGCGAGCAGAGTTGCAGCTGCTCTCAAGCCAGAGTGTGATCTGCATGGCTTTGTAAATGCCGTAGCTCTGTGGCAAGCTTCTGCAATGTGTATTTCTTTTTCTAAAGCTTTTCTGTATGCTTTCTGGCGAGATGACTTGATTATTTTTTTTAATTTATTTTTTGTGGATGATATTCCAGGCACTGTGCAGCCTACTCCGAAGAGATGCCTCTATCAATTTCAAAGCCAAAGGGAATAGCCTTGTGTCTGTCTTGGCCTGCAACCTTCTCATGGCAGCTTATGAAGAAGATGAGAACTGGCCAGAGATCTTTGTCAAGGTGGTTGAACCAAGGGGCCTTCTGCCAGAATGTGGTCAGACTGAGTAAAACTGGCCGGGGTTGGGAAGGCTATGTGTGTTGGGGGCAGGATAGAAAAATAAGATTTATT